AAACAAGTTGTTTGTATCAAACTTTGTAAAATGTACGGCAAAATAGACATGATACCCAAAAATTCATTTTATATTTGATTATATTTTGTGTTAAATGATCCCAAGTCATAAGCATGTATGGTTCTCCACTAGGATGGAAATAAACAGACCTTAGATGACAAACTTCAAAAGGTACTTATAAAATACAAAATGGTCATGTAGCAAAATGCCAAAATGTCTGTTTAATTAATTATTGCATGTTTCTTAACTAGAACAGCAGACACAGCTTTACCCAATATAAATGTCAGTTCTATTAAAAATATAACGAAGTAAGATTAGTAGATGTTTTACCTTATTCTCATTTAACCCCTTGAAATGTAAGGATATAAAAGTGGTTCCAGTGAGCTAACTTGCAATAATATCATTATCTTTATAGATCTCAGAAAACAAACACACTTCAAAGACGAGAGGGATTATTTATCCGGCAACATCGGGGCATCCAGAGATGTTATCAATTCTGGAAGAATTTTATGTTTTAGTAGCAAGCCCAAGGGATGCGGATGGTTGAAAAAGCAGGCTAAAAAAAGCAGGCTTCTCAGGAAGCGGCCAATGGTTGTAAACCTTCGGAATTCAAATGCACTTCAAGTGAGTTTAAAGTACGGTAGTTTAAAATCTGAAAGCTGTAACTTTAAAATACTGTAAATTAAAGGCTTTTCTAGTTAATTGAACAGTCTTTAGTGTAAATATGGATAGGCTAGCAAAACAGTGGAGCATAAAGGAAACATGTTATTGTCACATAGAAAATCATATTAGTCACTGAAATGATGTTAAATATTAATAAATTTATTGTTTCAAATGGGTGAGTTACTACACAGTACTGTAATGGTGTTCTGTCTCTTATTACTGGCAACGTACAACTTGAAGACTTCTTTGACCTATCCATCCTGAATATAAATTCAGTGGTACCTCAAATTTCTCTAGCATTTTATTTAGAACGGCTCACCAAAGAAGTTAATTAATCTTGCTACTGTTGTAATCATGAATGAATGGCATGACCATCAGCCTGGTTGGACAAAAAACAACATAATAGTCATGGAGGGCCACTTACATGGTCAACTTGATGTCATGGTTGGCATAATCAGTGTTGATAAAGTAGAGAACTACTTATATTGTATTTCTGTTAAACAGTAAATGTCTCCTCACTTTAATATTTACTACTCATTTTTGTTGAACAGCAGTTGTCTCCACTTTAATATTTGCTCCCTCAATTTTGTAAATTATTAAAGGGGTAGTATCATGGTTGACGCATCCAATAAACTAACTGTATCTGTTAGCAGTAAAAAAACAACAACACATTTTAGCTTCAAAACCTTAGATAAGATGTTTATACTCTCAACCCTTCATATGTAACAATTACATTTATAACATAGCGTGTGCGCTATAGTCCTACCTAATTCCTATTGAGCCATCATGAATGAAATCTCTATATACGCAAGGTCATGCGTGTATAACATGACGTCTGCAGTTTCAATTTACCTGCAACATTTCTGTCAAGTTTAATGCAAGTTCCTTTTGTTTAAGTTTCGGCAATATGAAGATTATTCTGGACAATCCAAACTCTACTTTGAGCCTTTGACTTTTGCCAAGCTAAGATGTTTACTTAAACGGGAGTATTTAGACTTTGTTTGTCTACATTTTCATCGAGTTTTTTTGACTTTGCTTAAATTTTCAGTATAATTAATTCAAAGAAGCGATTTTTCCGTTGACAATTTTAGACACCAGGTTAAGTGTTTTTGTTCAACCATTGCTCGACTGAATGTAGCGTGTTAGGATCCTAATGACCTTTGTTTTCCTTCACTGTGCACTGTGAGAACTTTGTAGTCAATCGCAAATAAAACGATGTTTTAGCGGTCAATATGTTGTCGCTATATATCTTATAAAAGAATTGGTTCACGGGTTAGCTGTGTGTATATTGAGTTATGGATGCATGTTGGAAGTTTGGAGAGCACTCAAGAAGCTTGAGTTGCTTTCGGCTATCGTCTCGAGCAACTCTTGCGCTTCTTTTGTGCTCTCCAAACATCCCACATACATCCATAACTTGATACACGCATGGTAAGCATGAACCAATTCTTTAGTAAAGGGTTGAGAGTATAAACATCTTATCTAAAGTTTTGAAGCAAAACTGTGTTGTTTTTTGCAATCCACTCTGGGAAAGGATGATGCCATATTACCTGAGTGATCTTGGATCGTTGATCCAGATCCAGAATCGCAAAGGGCCCTAGTCAACCACACCTTTGGTTTACATGTAAAAGTTTGGCTATTATACTTTATTCGTGGCATGTTGAAATGAAGGAAATCTCTGCGAAACTGCTAAAGATAATTATTACACTTTCAGGAACAAAACTTATATTAAAGCAATAAGATTCCATTCGCCATGCAATATCAATCATTTTGATGACACTGAAAATGGCAGAGGCTGTGTAAACAAGTTTTCACTATTTAACAAATAAAGAAGCCTAAGCTGTGTATTACACTGTGATGAAACACGACGGGCATTTGAGAACACGAGCGAAAATGTAGAAAAGACGAGCCGCAGGCGAATGTTTTCTACATTTCTCGAGTGTTCTCGAATGATATAGAGATAATGTGGCAAAAAATAATAAAACACGCTTTTTCTATGTTTTATACTCTGATAAAACATGGGTTTTCGAACAATCAGAGCCAGCGCAGGGTCCTATCTACATTATAAACTCTAATAAAACATGGGTTTTGACCAATCACAGTGCGCACAGGGTCCTATCTATATTATAATAAGTACTAGAAATTGAGAACTACACTGTTGGAGAGAACTTCATAATATGAAAGCTTATTAAAGTGGAGTGGTCAGTTCAGCATTTTCAGCATATATTTTGGTAATTAAGCTTAAGATAGCACGTCTCACGTAGTAAAGTAAAGTTTAAGTAACATTTCTTATATATTATGAAGTTGTTGAGTTTAGAAGGGACTTAAGCTAAAGTTTAAGTTCATTGTGGACCCGAATAAATAATTTATTGTGCACTGTAGTCGGCCAAACATTTTTAAAATTAACTTATTGTTTGCGAAACATAAAACCTTCAAGAAGTTATCTTATATGAAGAAATTCTGAAAGTAATATTGAAATTTATTTCCAAACCGAATTTTTTTTTATTTTCATGTAGGTGCTTGACACTTACAGGTAGCTCGAGTTTTAAGTGAGCTTCTCAGCTCTACAAGTTGAAATCGTGAAGTCACTTTCATTATGAAATTCGTAGTATTATAAGCTAAATAAAATAGATGAACAACGAATAGACTTCCGGGTCTTCCCTGTTACCATAAAAAAAAAAAATAAAAAAAAATAATAAAGGGCTGAATAATCCCTCGAAAGGGATTCGAGTTTCCATGAGAGCAATGAATTACCGCGAACGGTGAATTCGTGATTTCTCTGCCATTTGAGTCGCCCAGTATTCGATGTAATCGGCCTGATTGCATACAGATTCTGTTCTACTTTGCGAAATATTGTTTCAAAATTTGAGTGAATGGCATTAATGTCTTCTACATCACAAGTAACATTAGGAGTCTTTATACGATGCAAGGACGGGAGGGCCAAGACGGGAACGGCAGTGGACGCGGGAAATAAACTTTCGCGTAATTTTCGTATAGGACGGCGACGTCAATATCTCTAGCTTCATAAAAGCTCTTCATAAGACCAATAACATCCCTTTGAGATAGTATAGAAATATTATCCAGTCAAGCTTAAACGATGGTGAACAGACGACACTGAAGTTACTCCTGTTACTCATGCGCAGTATGGCGCATGAGTTAAGGATTGGACTCTGTTTCTCCGTTTTGGTGTCACATTTGTGCATGCTAATTTATGCATGCATATATTTACCACAGTCGTTGGAGCTCCGTCCGCCATATTGGATTCTTCAAGAAGGTGCCGTTTTTTTTTTTCGCAAACGTTGTGCTTTTTCCCCAATTTGATACGGTTTGAAAGTACCTATCGGTACTTTAGTTCGTTGTTAAGATTCTGAACTGGCATGTGACTATGCATGAACAACAAGAAAGTGTTTCTGGAGAGGTAAGCCATTGTTTATGTCGATCGCCATCTGACAATATGACAAGTCTTAAATTTATTAGGGTTTTGGAGATTCAAGGACATATTACGAAGAATCATACTAAGAACGTGCTCTGTATACTTAAACTTTTGGTCAAAAAATGCTTCCTGTTCGTGTAAATGGACGTGTTCAACAAAACGGGCAGGTAATAGGCCANCATACTAAGAACGTGCTCTGTATACTTAAACTTTTGGTCAAAAAATGCTTCCTGTTCGTGTAAATGGACGTGTTCAACAAAACGGGCAGGTAATAGGCCACGTTCGATATACCGTATATCGATATTCTAGCATGTCTCCGAGGATTTCCGGACAAAATTTTCAAGCTTCTTTTGTTCCTCAAATCCCAAAAGATACTCGGTTACAAAGAAATTATTTTAAATGAAAAATAAATGCTATAAATTGACGTTTCGGCGTGATCTGGTCGCCATTGTCACATGCAGATTAAAGTCGTTCAGTTCAGTTATAGCTATATACTAGCTTAGGTGTTAAGAAGGAATCCACCAAAAGTTCGAGTAACAAGTGGGCTAAAACTTTTTACTGAGATTATTGGAAACTTCTGTGCGACTCTTTTAAATATCTTCTCAAAAGAAATCATTTCTAACAACAACAAATGTAGAAAATAAATTTTGGAGTAATATATGAAACACTGAAACAGTACTGGTGAAATGAAACTGATGATGAAATTTTACCTGTGTTTTACCTGACAATTCCTCTGAAATTTACTTGCTCGAGTTCCCATGAGAAAGTGTTTTTGGTGTTATTTCAGACCACTGTTTATATCTTTAG